GAAATCGAAAACAATGACACTGCACTCTCCGATGTGTAGCGTTCGCTTGGACCTCGCATGGAGTTACTCTCAAACTAAGGCAGTACTTTCTAAACTCTATTCATGGGGTCAACCTGCGCGCACAATGCGTATCAGGTTATTGCATTCACTTCACACATGCGATCTATCTGCAACATTTCCCGTCGAAATATTGAAAGTGTTTCTAGAAATTAGAAACAAATTGTAAAAACATTAATTGTGAATTGCATGAATCAATCTGTATCCAAATATAATTTTTCATATCATGATTTTGTGAATTGCGAAATAGCATTAATAATCCTCGGTTTATCGCGATTTTTATGTGACACTTTAATCTTTTGCTGGGCAATGATTAACAATAATAATTACACATTTCAAAAAAAACATTTGCTCTTAATTAGAAATATGTTAATGACATTTAAAAATGCAAATTTTTTAAAGATTGTATTTTATTTTTCAAAGAATTAATTATCGCGTGCATTATCTCGTAACTTATTTGGTCCATAAAATACTGGAGAGATAATATTAGAAAAAGATTAAAAATTAGAAGTTTTAAAAATTTAAAACCTTTTTAGATACGTACAAGTAAAAGTACAAGTGATATAATGGAAATGCGTGATTATGCAAGTAAGTCTCAAGCATCCTTATCGTTTTTAGGATGAATATATGAATTTATAGGAAATCGAAATTTACCTTCGGAGATATTGAATAAGAATAAAGAAAAAAGAAAAAGAGCTGGTTCAAAACGAATTACATGATTATTAAAACAACTACAATTACAAATTATTATTCATTAATTACGTGTTCTAAGTATATCTATATAGCAAAAAACAACGCAAGGAAAAAATAAATGTACGTAGAATAAAGATACTATCTCAGATATGACGGAAACAAGATGCCATTTAAATATTGCGATAAGATAATTTATTGTTGATTTAAATAAATCTCAACATTTTCCACTAAATTGAACCTTATTTGATGTAATTTACTTGCAAATATAGCCATAAATTAGCGATAAATGTAAAAAATTTGTACGAGATAAAGTAAGCTACGTAAATGCTTAATAATGATTAATATTTATCGAATCATAATGCTTGATATTTATCGTAAACAATATACATTGTTTACTATTTTTGCAATATTTGATTAAAATTATATAGTATTAATATTTGTAATAATTACTTTAATTGTAATAATTATTTGAAATTTAAAAACTCCATGAAACAAACTCCAAAAGCATACTTGATATTAATTTGTAAATAAATGTTTAATTCCGTAAAGATAGTTTCGTCTTTTTCGCAATCAATAAAAAGCGCTTAAATGGAGTCTTTAATGATTAATATATAGCTGTGCCAATTACCTCGAGGTTGGTTATTGGACGAAGTTTTTACTCCAACTACTTTCGGTACTTACATCATGTTTTTAGGAGATAACTTCTTCGTCAGACATCGTTTTATTCTTTTAACAGTCCTTATACCGCTTACGAGTCGTTAAATGTCTTATAATTTAGTTGTAATTTAATCTGCAGAACATAAGAACTTAATTTTTAATTACAAATGATATAAGTGTAAGGATTAGTCAAATAATTTATGTCATAAGAAAGTTTTCTAATTAATACACTCGTATATGTATGTCGAAATGTCCCTCTCTCTTTTTCTCTCTCTCTCTCTTTCTCTTTCTTTCTCTTTGGCATAAAAAGTAAATAAAATTTTCTTAAAAATAAACAAATGCTATTGCTCATAAAATTTATGTGAAATAAGAGTTTATTATATGCGTACACTATTTCAAATACAATCAATAAACGTGAATGTGAATTTAAATGCAAGTGTCACAAAAATAGTTCTCAATTCTGTTGCCAAAAGTCCTTTTACGTGCGTTGTTTCGGGAAATGGAGGTTTGAACACCATTTCCGCTAAACGGAGACGTCGGCTTTGTAGAACTTTATCCGCTCACACATACGCGCAACAACATCTCAAACATCACGAGAGCCATATATCTTAACGATTTGTAGTTCTCACCATTTCGTTCCTCGAGGAAAATACGTTTTCCCACTGACACTATCAACTCGCAATATCCAGGAAATGATATAATCGTGCCATGACGTGAACGCAACGCGCAAACTATTTATTCAACCATTTATTCATGCATGATAAAAATGAAGGAACTTATTACTTTTTTTTAGAAAACCATCAATTATACATGAAACTGTATATTATTGTATATATTTTTGCTAGAAATGCGCGTAGCATAAGCTGATGATTTTTCTTGATTCAAGAATTTTTCCTTGTTTTTTTTTCAAATTTCTCCTTCTTTCTCTCTTTTTTATAATTATCGTGCACTTATCTAACCATGTTCAATTTTTCGCGAAAGATAAACACGATTATAGACTCTTCCGAATGTCCATGTTAGTCGAATCGGAAATTTCACGTTCAAAACTTTTCCTTGCGGGATGCTGATCGAAACTGTCGGATGCGGATACTTTCTACTCGAACTGATTGAAACTTACAGGCCGATAATTGGATTGCAGCCGTCAAGACGCGTATCTGAATAGACGCAATCATTGCTTTGTCGGACTGAGAGTGTATAGAGGCACCGTTAAGGGCTGATTTGACAGCAGACTGCGTGACTCTGAATCTTTTATCATAGATCATTTCTAATAAAGAGTCTAGAGTAGATATCGCCGCGCATATATAAAAGATCATAGATGCACTTCCCGAAAAATAATGATCTCAAAGGTTCAACTTCAAACAGCTATAAAGACTTTACTGTGGCAGCGCGTTGCGTATAGTGCACCGTTTAAGAGCATTCCGCCAAATTTCTCCAAAGACCGACACAGCTGCGTTTTATCCTTTTTCCCACAGCTTCTACTCCCCTTTTTATCGCGTGGCTACTTTCCCCGTGTAGATTTATAGAATCTATTTTTTAAGAAGAAAGCTTTTATTCCAAGCTCTGCGCTATATTTTTAGATTTGAGCAAGGTAGTGACTTGTCCATTTGTCATCGCGAAAATTGTTACGAGAAACAACTTTGAGACTGTTTGAAATATCAATTCTCTATATTTTTTCACATTATAAAATTTTAAAAGTTATGTGTATGTTCCATTCGATATTCAATTGTCTACAGCTATAGCAATTAATTGTACCATTAACAATTAGAGATGATTATTTTTTCTAATTTTGACAGAATAATTATTCATATCCCTTTCTCTTTTCTAAAAATTTGTAACATAAAAATAAAATTTTTCTATCCTAGAAGGTACAGCTAAAAGTGATGTCTGTATTTTGTATTTTTAACAATACAGTGTGCGCGAAATTTTGCATTTTTGGACGCATATTTTATGCAGTGCAGATATTTAGAATATTTTTTGCACATTTTTATTTATATCTGCTTATATATGTTTTGCATGTAAAGTGCTATAGCATTCTTATATAAAACTCACACATATTTTGAATAAATGCTACAAGCATTTAAAACAACATTTATTTTTCATAGCAATTTTAATGTTGTGTATATTACGAATAAATATACATTAGAGCATAATGTGTATGCATATTTTTTTTTACTTAATACAGTTATTAATTTATTTTGTATAAATAAATATTTTTTTACGGTCCTCTGACATATGCACAATTTTGATCATTAATTACAAAATGTATCTTCAAAACCAGATTAAAAGTGTGCAAAATGATTAAAATTTTATTAATAATGTGATTGGTATTGGCATAGAGAAATAAATGTCTTCATAAATTTTATTGCAAGTGGTTGAATGGCAAGTATCATCGTTTTATTTACGAATGATGTTATCAAATTCATAAAACATAATATGGATACAGCCAGATTCCACTTTTAATGCTCGTATCGATATGCAACAGTATATCTGTGCATACTAGGACGTAATTTAAATGCATTAATCCTTTGAGTGGCAAACTATGATGTATCGTCATATCATATCGTATGTCTGGATTGCCAACGTCAATTTATCATTGTTGCTACAATATTTGAGAGATAAACAAGACAAGTATACTTGAATTTTGGATAAAATTTTATGAATCTCTTATTAAATAAATCTTTGCAAATTATAGACATAAAATAATTATTAACAATTATTAATTATTTATTGGCGTTATTATCAATAAGAAAAATAAACTTTTTGATGATTATTAATACAATAAAAATTGAAAATTTTGATAAAAGATGGCATTGAAATATTTATCCCAATATAATTGCGAGAATCTTTTTATATATTCAAGTATATTAATGTTTGTGGTTGTTATATTGTTTTCTTGATTCATAAAAACTTTTGTTTTATATAACGTTTAAGTATCGGAAATAGACTGTACACTTGTTTCATCCACGAACTCATACATTATATAAACAAAATAGCTTGGTAAAATCTTGTCAAGGAAAAAAGAAATATTATGTGTATGTGTTCGAGCTACCGTTTATAAATATCGAATAACTCTAAGGTTGTACGTGACAGGGGGATGGCCCCTTGAAATATACATGCAGAGGAATCTCATATATATAAATTATAAAATCTCTGTTTTAAATTAATCATGAGCAAAGATTATAAACGATGAATTAATACAATTATCAATGCTAACTATCAATTAATGTGACACTTGTTTCATAAAGAATTATTATTATTATTCTTGTTATACTATTAAAATAACACACATATATGGTTACCGCGCTTTATAAAAAGTATTAATTCAATAAAAATATATGATATTTATAGAACAAATTTTTAAAATCAAGTATGTAAGCGTGTGTGTGCATACGTGCGTGCGTTTGTGTGTATGTGTGTAAACATCAAATAGGTAAAGCAAAAAGAAACAGCCGATACGAATAACGCTCGAAGCTGTATCTACTTTACGCGGCTCCGGAATCCGCTCAGCTTTGACAACGAGCGTAGCGTGCGCAAACAAGCCACGGAAAAATAAAACCCCACTATAGCAGAATCCGGAAGATGGTTATACTCACCGGTGCGCACCAACACGTTGAGCAGGATATACAAAACGAGGGTGGTGGCTCGGTATCCGTGTATTATGATCATCAGCCACCTCGATGCGTTGAATCCCGCTGCGTGCCATAGACCAGTGCCCTCGTGCACCATATTTTTCCGGCTGGCCCGTTCAAATCTGCTTCAAAGCCGCCACCGCCGTTGCCGTGCGTCCCTCGCGTCCTCATTCACCAGCACTCTACGATGTAAACCATCACGATGATGTAAACACGGAAGTTATCGGCGCAGTCTCGATTCGCGTCTGCGGAAACGACAATTCTCCGTCCGCCTGATGCGAACCGAGACGTTGAGAGAGTTCGTTTTACGAGAGAAATGGTTTGAACGAGTTAGTCGTTGAAAGTTAGATGCTTCAAAATTTTTGATGCGACTTTTATTTACTCTGTTGCCTTCTTGTTACAGTTACAGTTACACGAACGTATGTGTGCATTCTATCTCGTCTATTATGCACCACGTGGTTCCACTGATTTTTTCGACGACATTTTATTCGACAATGATGAGAACAGAAATCACTTTGAAATTTGTATGTATATATCAGAATTATTTTTTTGTAAAAAATAGTAAAACATTTAATTTTTGAGAACTGTTGGTAAAATCTCCCTTTGTTAGATAAATACTAATATTAGTTGATAAGATTCTCTCTCTCGTAATTACATGTACAAATGAAATAATTAATATATTACGCTGAGAAAAAAAAAACTACAATAATTTATTGAGTAAATAAATGAACTGTTGAGATACAATTACATATCACATATCAATACAACTGTATTAATAATCGTGTTCATTGAAATAATTAAATAATTATAAACACATTTTGATTGTATTAATTATATAATTTGTTTAATTAATCTGACATTTGTTTAAATAAAGGCAATTAACTGTATATGTCGCTTTTGTCTCACATATTTTTTGTCAATGTATTGTATAGCAAGTTTGGAGTTAACATTTTTAATCTTATAACTTTTCGCCGACTATAATAAATTCACCATAAAAATTTGAATTCTGCGAAAACCGAAAAACATAGAGATATATTTTTAAAGATATAATTTTAATATGATATAAAGATATATTTTTATTTTGTCATATTTTTTTATCTCTATGCTTTTAAACTCTTAGCATCATGTGTAGAGCATTGCGCTATGAGCGTGAAAAGTTATTTCATCGTACGTTATATGAAAACGTATAAATTAAGATTGAAATGTTTACCAACATCTTTGCGGGAATATTGATTATCCAGTTCTACATTTGCGGTGAATGAGAATCGATCGGGGAACGCATCTATTTGAAATGCAATATAGTTTGATGATCATCCTACCGTATCTGTAAAGGGAGTCGATGATACCTATTAATACGAGTAAACAGGTTCTCTCGAAATTTCTCGATCTCATCGCGAGATATTAGACAAGTTCTCCGAATAATTTCTACCAATATCACGATAACGTTTCTGATCAGAGATATCTGACATACTGAGGCGTAAGTAAAAAAGTCTGAATTTTTGCATAGATGCCTTAGTAAAACAGATTAGGGTCAATGGAGATTTAAAGAAATCTGCACTTTACATTATTATCTAGAATAGATGCAGATTTATCGGTGAATGACAGCGCAATTTATTTAATATATGTAACCTTTCCTTCAACATTTATTATGTAATTTTTCATTTACCAAACGTTTCTTTTTTTAAACAATTCAAAAAAAAATTAAATAAACTAGATTCAATAAAAACAAACACAAAATTGATGAAATAAACAAAAAAATAAATAATATTAATAACTATTAATTTTTTAATTAAAAAAAGAAATTAACGCGACAAAATGGTCAAAATGTCCAAATTGTTTTAAATTTTTCAATTTGTATAAATATCGTAGATACCATTATAACTTGTTTATTGAAACTAATTCGATGTATCGCGTCATACTTTTTATATATTAAGGAAGTGCGTGACGTAAACTAAATTTCTAGTTGTCACATGTTCGAAAATTCCTTTCTCACGGAACAGGAGATATCAGGGCTCGTTTGCATGGAGGACATGTCTAGAGCATGTCACCTCAACGCGAGTGATGCTGTTCGCCTAAATCTTCCTTCGCACCGCCTATCTCCTGTTCTTCTTCATTTGGCTGACGCTCTACCAACAATAATATAAGTCAGAAAACTTGTATTAAGTTACGAAAAATCGATTAAATTGTCTAAATCAGTAACAGAATAAATCTTATGAAAACATCAATCATATTTATATATCAACGTGTTTTATAAAATGGTGTCTAATAAGCTTTAATATTGTTGATAATGATCAAATCTTAATTTAATCATACATAACGTTTAATAACGTTTTAATCGTATATAATATAAATATCTAGGAAAAAAAGTTTTTGAGTCTGCTTGTGGCATCGCATTTATATTTACCGGGAATTCTATTTACCAGATAAGCTGGATAATTTTCTGTTAACGAGCTTGATGTCATGGAACTCCTCTCATTATCAGAGTCGTTCTTTGCTCGCGAGGACTTATCGCTCATTCTTTTTATATGATGTTTTTTTTGGTCGGAAACGTGCAGGAACGAACAACCGTGCGCAACCCTTCAGGCAGCGCTTTAGAAATGCTTATTCAGTAATTAACCGTTACTTCCGGAAATAAATCGAATTTTTTTGCAGGTTATTTGCACAACATCGCTCGTAATTCCGGCGACTTAGAGAAAGAGAGCGAGATTAATATCCGGGTTCGAGAGAGGAATGTGAAATACATGTATTTCCTACGAATTCTTTATTTGATACTTTTTCTTCTAACAATTAAATAGGAAAACTGACAAATAAGAGCCGAGGCACGGATATTGGTGCGCGAATTTATTATTGTTAAATTTTATTAATAGATGTGTACTAAAAATGTACGTTTCGGATCGTTTTTTGGTCCATCTTCAGGATAGATATAAATATATAAAAATTACGTTGGTATTTTCAAACTCGACATATTTGCTGTTGCAGTCAAATTTTAAATTAAAATCAATAATGAGAACTTCTTTTTCCGCTGTCCGACAGCGTCTACCGGTGTCACGTAAAACGATGTTACACCGATGCAATTACTCGGAGACCACCGTCGCACTGGCAATACGATAATAGGTACCAACGGTTCAAACATCAAAGCATACCTTTCTGACTGCTAATTTCGAATGCGAAACGTTGAATAAAAGGGTCGCGGAGGCGTGTTGCAGCACCGCTTCTATTCTGATGATCGGACAAATCTCGTGTGAGCGTAACATTACACCTTGCAAACGCCTGTTCTCATGTATTCCGTTGCCTTTGGAATGTTATTCTGGTCGACTTCCATCGAGATTAAAAACGTCAATATGCCTTCATAAAAAGATTTCCTTTGTACTCATCTTTGCTTTCTTGATTAATGATCATCGTTCTACTTTTGATATTACATTTTCAAATCGACTTCTCTATGTTGTCAGCCGTGAAAACAAAAGCAAGTAAGCAATATTTAATAAATCGCGGTGAAGTCAAATGTTCTAATTTGTCAAGGTATAAAGCGGAATAAGCCCTACTACAGTTAAAGTAACTATACACAGTAAATCTTGACGTACGCGTTTCATTTCAGGTAAACATACGCTAACAATTGACTTGACTCGCACTGTGTGTTCAATGTAAACTTAGTCTAGAATATGACCCGAAAAGAGATTCAGTAGAAGAGATACTGTCAACTTCGTCAGTTGTGTGAAACTCGGCGCGAAATTTAGCCTCGTAGTTGTAACGTTAGCTACATAAAGGATCGGCCGTATACTTCGAACGCTATATAGCTTGAACACTATGTAACTTTCTTGATATCTTCAAGTTCAACAAGTTCTTCGACATACGAATCTGCTCGTTCTTTCCCGGAACTTAGGAGTCGACATAGGAAAGGTAGACGTTCCAAAGGAAGTTCCATTTTCTCCGGGGTGTGTTCCCGAGAATATTCCCGCAGCTCGGATTAGACCGCGTTACCGCCGCCGTGCGATGATATCTCACCCGAGACGCGATATTAACTTTGTCACCTTCGGCGCGATGATAACTTCATCATCCAAAGCGCAACGCTAACCGCGTTAACGGTCCACCGGATCTCGAAGCTCGTCTTATCCCGAAGTTCATGGCGGCGATACCGTAGTCCAAACTGGCGCAATGATCATAATCGTAAGATTTCCGGTAACATGTAGCTACGGTGCGATCTACAGACTGCGTCTTCGCCTCGTTCCGGAAGCAGCGAAGAGAAGCAGGGCGGCATGATCTCTCCCATTCCGCCTTTCGGAACTACTTCGATAACTTCCGTGCGCTTACGTTTGCAAGCACGGGTCGGTCGGTCGCTCGTTACAGCGAGCCCTCTTCGCACAGACACTTTCGCAGAACGGGAAAGAAACTTCGGCTTTCCGCTCCGCCGCTACGCCGTGTGTATTTCTTGCGAGAGCGTTGGAAATAACGGAGCAGACACATGTCGGTACACGGGGCGTAACCTTCCCGACGATTTTCGCTCCTGTGACCCAGAAGAAGCTTTCCAGCGAGCGCCCGAGCGTTCACCGATGTGCATCCTCAAACCGTCGCAACACTGGTCTTGCGGCGCGGATGCCGTGCGTGTGGATCTTCCATTTGGCAGCTTGCATTCTGCTCTACGTTTCGTCCTGGAAACAGGAACTTTGATGTCTCGCTTCGAGGAGCAGCGTCGTTACTGAGTAAAGAGTTGAAGGAACGACACGTGGCAATGCACCACAGTGTCGTCGTAGTTCGAAATTCTCGTAAGGAAGAATGTTTTAAGAGAGTTTGAATGAAGAAGAGTAATGTGAGAAAACGAAATGACGACCACGACGACAGAGAAAGAGAAGAAGCGAGTGAAAAGAGGATTTTCGAGGCTTTTTCAAGTGTTTATATTTCTTGGTTTACGACAATTTAAAAAAAATAATAGTTGGTTTACCGCATCGAAATATTTTAAGAGGAAATTATGAGCATTCTATATACGAAAGCATAAAAATATAATTTGTTATATATATATTTATTATATAAATATAATTTATTATGGTCTTTCTGTGACGCCTATCTGTGTTAAGGCTAATCATGCTTGTTATAAAAAAAAGTTGCGGTACAAAGACTGTGGTACACAGAAAAATCCTTTTTCACAAAGATCGTTCTAGCAGTATAAAAACTTATATTTATCCAATGC